CATATTGACAGTCACTGCCACAGGATTTTGCAGGATTCAGGCAGTGGTCAGCCCTCCACCGACCATATTCAAGAAATATGGAGGAAGTTGCAGGATTGAGGCTCTGCTATTTTTCCATGAAGCCAATTGGAAGATTTTGCAGGATTGAGGCTACATCCTAGCAAAAAGAGTTAGGGGTAATGTACTGTTAATGAGTTAATGAGATACATGTAGGCCTAAATGTATACTAAACGACATTTACGAAAGGTTTGGACTTTCAGTACGCAACGATAAAAGGCTGTGAAATTTCTTGCAAGAATTTACTGAAATCACTATTATTGTGGTAGATACAGCTTCACTACTGTAAAAGCATCAATGACATTTTACAAAAAGGTACATTGATGTTATTGAAACATCATGTTTTTGTTGTTATGGACATTACACATTACAGACGTGACGTGTAAAATCAACTTCACACAGGTGATTAAGCATACTGAAATACTGTATTCAAAGTTCTGTTCTTTCACAATAATACTTGCATTTCGCATGTTAAACAAGATGCCAAAAAAACTACCTAAAATCCACAATATTAGCCCCAAAACCAGATTGTTGTTTTATTTTTTTAGGGGGGGGGGGTTGGACATAAAAATACATTTTATCACCTTCAATCTCACTGACACACCACAGCACTCTCATAAAAGGCTTTGTTGTCCCCTTTAATTTGAGACTACGTTCGAGGTTGTGATGCTTGTAGTTCTGAATGTTTCATAAATTTTCCTCTTCTCAGCAATCTCCACATTCTCATAGACTTGCCCAAAACAGAAGCCCTGCCAGGTGTAATAATGTATGCACTTGCTGCCTTCTTTATTGGTCTATTGATCCCTACTCTAAGTTTCCCCGGATTTGTTAGAGTCGTTAATGGCGCGTGCCAGTAAGCTGCAATCAATAGGGTCAATTAACAAGCTGGGATCAATAACCATGATGGTCCCAACATCTGGACACTAAACACCTTAATCTGTCAGCAGGTATTATGACTCTGAAAGAAAGTATGAAGATGCATGTGTGGGGGCTATGCTTGAAGAGAGGTTTTCTCTGTCAATTTTGCTCAATAATGTTATTAAAGATGCTTTAAAGGGAATTTACATCATTGGCTTTTGCTGTAATTTTCAGAAATGAAGTGTTTGAGGGGTTAGTATAAAAGATCAAATACTATTACACTTACATGTTTGAAGTTTTGTGTTCGAAAATGCTGGAAAAACCAAGAGAAACAAAAGTGTTCAAGTAGTCTGGTTCCTTGACTCCACTAAAGATAAAATAGATCAATTTATAGATGCCGGAAAATTGTAAGGTAAGGGAACCAGTTTAGCTGGCCTGCACCCGTTCATGAACATGTAACCAATAGCAAACAAAATTTTAACTGAAAAAAATGATAAATTTGGAGCAGTAGTTGAAAAATAGTTAGGTTTTCCAACGGTGGTCAGCCGACCAGCATTGGAAATGTATACAAATATACCATTTTCTTGAAAATGGCTTCACACCAGGTGCCATAATTTTACAGGATGCTTTAGCATGTCATTTACCAACATCCTAGTAAGGTATTTCGTAACAACTTGGTAGTTTTATTTTTCGATGTTTGCAAATGTTGTATTTTCCCTTTAAAGAGAGGTTTTCTTTGTCAATTTTGCTCAATAATGTTATTAAAGATGCTTTAATTCCCTGTGCTGTTCACCTCGAAAATTGTGTGTAATTTTTTCAATTGCTGTTTTCCTAGCAATATAGAGTGATCCACTTTGGAATGAGACATCAAAAAAATCCACCACGTTTAGGTATTGAATTATTTCTTCACAAAATTTGAAATGTTGGCTGCCAGACAATAATTGGGCTCTCGCAGTACTGGTTGACAGTTTGTGCTCAAAACCCCTTTTCAGAGGTTTGTAGACACCCAAAATCAGAATAAAGTAGGGGTGTTTTTTTTTCGTTAAAAAACAAAATATAAATTGAAAATTCGTAGGAGCAAAAAAATTCCCGTTTTTTTGTAAGAGCACAGGGTAGGCCTATCCTCTTTAAAAAAAATTTTTTTTTTTTTTAATTGGAAATTTCCTGAACACTGCAAAATCTTCCACTCTGCCCAACATGATTGACACAATCTTTGAACTCTCAAGCCTCATGTGATGTGAACTGGCTGTACCTTCGTCAGCCCTGCAAAATCCTTTGAAATGATTCCATGGGGTTTTAAAGGGTTGAGGTCTCCAATAAGAAAGCAATCACTATAGAAAAAAATTACTAAAATCTGAAGTTGGTTTGGAAACATGCGGTAATTTAATGAGTTTTAATATTTTTACGTCAAAAGGTTGTTAGAGTTGTTGTCCTCTGCACTTCACAACTTTTCAAGTTTTAGCACCCACACTTCAAATTCTTTTGGGGTAATCTTATCACTTCAAATTCCTGCACAGTTCTTTTTTGTAGTTAAGCAGGAGGCAAGCAGGCAGATTCAGTCACGGTTCATTCCTCTCCACAGTGCTGTTTTTTGTTTACAATGACTTATTTCTGTGTGAGGGGGTCTGCACCGAAATCCGATTGCTCATAGGTCCCACGCCAAGTCAGACAAAATCTCATCCCCAACCAAATAAAGGCCCATTAGACCGTTGCATCATACACGTCCCATAGGTTCGACACCCTGGTTGCGATGCACAGCCCTACCCTGTGCGTTTGCCATTTGTTACCCGAAGGGTTAATAATTACAAACCAGGTTATTGGTGAATTGATTTTTTGTATGAGAAAATAGACGATTTTGAGCAAACAGGATGCACATTCTTCAAGTTTAAGCATATTTCTATCATCTGTTCATGTACATAATGTAATACATTTTTTCTACTTTTCCAGGAAGTCATGTCATTACATTGTGATACAAATTGTTGTTTTTATTAGAAAAGGAAGTTACCTTGTTACAATGTATAAAACTCGGTAACAAAATACAAGCCTCTTTGTCATCAGCACATGAAGCAAATATGATAACTCACTTCAGTGAAAAACAAATATGAATTGATATTCTTGCATTCTTTTTTTTGCTAGGGCCCTTGACTGAACTTCAGATCATAAAGAAAGGAAACCTGATGGATAGGGTTCCCTTCTAATTTGCAAGTTGCCCTCAATCCATTATGCCTGTTTAGGTACAGTACAGGCAAACCTGACACCCTCACAGGCCCCCAACAGTAAATACATGTACTTATTCATATTCTTCTCACGGCCTAGTGGTGTTCATGTCTAGTGAATGCAAAAATATGCGCAATTTGAGAGTATCAGGTGCATGTAGGTAGACGTACATGTCAATACTAAGTATCTTCTTTTTCTTCTGGCAATAAAGAAGCATCTGCCACTGTCAATCTGTATGACTGACCAGCCCAGAGAGTTACAGAAATTGATATGTAACCATATGGGGGGGGGGGGGGAAGAGAGAGAGGGGCTATAATTGTTAGCCAAACACAATGCAATTTACTCTACATGTATCGGCAGGCCTACATGTTATTAACAAAATGAGTGAGACTGAGAAATTCTGATGATGTACATGTACTTGATGTACAATGTACGTACCCTAACATGGCGCGGCCCTATAACATGGTGAACTTTGATTTTTCACCTATGGTGCCTTGCTAAAGCAAAAGTTTCACCTCAAATTTCAAAGTTTTAAGTGAAATTTCATCAACTTCTAAACATTCCCGTTCATAAATCTTCACAACAATGTTCTGGGGAAATTTTGTTTTGACGTGATTTTCCGATATGAAGTGCACAATGAACCCTTTTAAAATGCACCCAAAATTAAGAAAATAATTTTCTGACAAACTTATAGTTGGGTATGTGCATGGAGATATTAATGATTTATCAGAATCTACCAACTTTAAAGAAATTCAGAGGAGATGATAAAGATTTGTCAGAATCTACAAACTTTAAAGAAATTCTTAAATGCGCCACATTAAGGAACACTTGGCCGAATTTGTGCCCAATTTCCCGACGCTACCGTTTTTGACTTTCGTACTAACTTTCGTGACACTGAAATTGTTCACAAAGGTTCATCAGCAAGCATTATTAAGGTAAAAGTATCAGTATTTTAACAGAATGAATTTGAAGTATTTCAACAAAGAGGTTTGACAACACTGCATGAGGAAAGTTGAGGGAAACGTCGAAGTGCGCCTCGTAAGGGGACTCCACTATTTATGGATAACAAAAACCCATCAGATGTCATCTACATACCCTCCTGCTACCGGTATCTGAACAGTCACAGACAGTCAACAAATCAATCCTCTTTCCCTGTCATGCCTTTTACACAGGCTAGTCACCAACAGTCAGATCATATTTCAAGTAAGCACTGTGACTAGTCAAATTCAGTCAACAGACAAAAGCAGGCAAGTGGTAGGCACAGCTGGCTTATCAATCACCTACACACAATTTCAAAGCATACATTAATATACAGTAAACATTCAATACAGAAATTCTCTGGAAATGGCTGCAAGTACAGTATTTATTCTAAAGAAAGAAACTTTGTTGTACAGTCAAGTGTACAATACATTTTATTTTTGGTCAAGCTCTTCCCAATGTACAGTATTTTTTTTTTTTTTAAATGTTGGTATTAGTGTAGTTTCAACTAAGGCAATGTCTTTATTAACTTCAGGTTGAGTTCATCTGGTGACTTCAGTATTTTCATTACTTAGAAAGTGACAACAGAAATCAATACTTCCATGAATATATTATAAGACAAGTTTTAAAATGACAGTCCTAATTCATTTACAGCAATCACTTCCAGAGCCCATGTCTTAATTAACAGCACAATCCATATTTACAATCCCCTTAACAACTTTGCAACATCTGTCATGCCAACCCCGACCCCTTCCTAAAATAAAAAAGAAGACTCTACCAACAATTACTCTGCTATTGATCCTTGTAATTCCCAATCCCAAGCTGATGTCCGGAATTGCAAATTATTGATCACGCTGGGTGCAGAAGCTTTAAATACCCCTCTAGTCGAGCTGAAGCGGTATCAGTTTGCAACTCGGCAGCCCAGGGCAAGGTTCGGTTTCCTCTTTGGTCTCTGTGGCTCCTCGCCCGGTGTTGACTTGGGTTGTTAAGTTGCATTTACCTGGCCTGGCTGACAGAAGATCACAGTTGTCAACTGCGTCGCATTCTCTCACTACCGCACAGCTGCTCTTGAGCTGTTTTTAGTCGGTGCAGTATGGCTGCCATACCCAGGCCCTGCGGCTTACCTTGCGTCTCATTACGCAAGTGTCGGGTCCTGTCACCAGCCAGGGTGAACTGTAACTGTCGGACTGGGGTTGCTTGCCGGTTGTACGGTATCGGCACAGACTTGGACCTGGTCCATGAGAAGTCTAGACCAGCTCTGCGGCGCAGAACAGTTGCTGTTTTCCTCCTCACCGGCAGACTTGACGGTCTGGTATGAAGGGGGGACTCGGGCATCCGGACACAGGAGACTGAGATGGGGGCTGGTTTGGTAGACGGAGTAACATTGATGATGATGTCAAGACTTGGCATTACCTGATATGAACAGGCGAGATGCAGAGGATGCAGGTTAGTTTTAGCTGTTGGGTTGTCTTTGGTGAACTTTAGTGGTCCTGTTCTGTTGTTTCATATGTATCGTCCCAAATCAATCATGCGTACTGGTTAAGGCAAAGTCATGTGAGAGCAGAGACTGAAATTTCCCCAAAAAATGCCATAAATTTGTACATGTATTAAAATGTACGCCACCTTCAGGTCTTGCTACAAAATGTACATGTAAGGTACATGTACTATTAGTTTCCTCATTAAAATAGGCTACATTTGTAACTTTCTGCAAGTACATGTACCCGTATGCTTGACATTTTCTTCCCTGCCAAAATTATTTGTAACATTTTTACAAAGAAAATATTGCTTGTTTTGAGGAACACTTTCTCGTCTCACATTTTCTAGGTAGTGAGAGAGGAAAATTATCTTGATGCAGGAAATTTTTTTTTAATTTAAGAAAACCATTTTTTGTGCAGTGAGTTAGTCTCTGTTTTGAACAACTGTGTTCACATTATAGTTATACAGGCATGCAATTTTTCCTCGGATCCGCTGATTTCCTCGTTTTTTACTTCTCGTGACTGCCATTACATACTGTATTGAAAAACATGTACTGTACAAAGTCTTGTGTGGTTTGGAGTTTCCTTGTATTTTCTAAATTCTCAGTTGCTTGCCTGATTATACGATATTGGTTAAACATACTTAGAATATGGAGATACATGTAAAGTGATTCAGGGGAAATGTTTTATTTAAAACACTGAAAAGCAAGCTCGCGTACGGACAGTTTCAGGATTGCAAGATTTAAAGGAGGAACTGATGCCCATGATGATGTGATGGAATGCATCATGCTCATAGTGCACTGCCCCTTTAAGCTGTATCTGTCGTTATCAATGATTTGGGCAGGACTAAACATCCACGCGTACATGGTGCGCAGAGCTCCACTATGCCTCTTGCGCTCATGCACCCTACTCTAAAAATTCCCCGAAATTCCTCACAATTTGTCGGCCACGCGGAAGGAATCTTTTTGCCCGGTCTCCTACTGGGCCCCGTGCCATGGATATCAGAGTGGCACCCTGCTTGGATGCAATACCAGGCATGCCAGGTTCTGTCGTGTCCTTTTGCTTATGCATGGTTGCGGGCCATCAGGGCCCACTCATCTCCATTTTTAGGCAATAGAACAAAATGAAACACAGCATTGCAAGAAGTCAATTATTTGAAGATATTGCTAATAATTAACAGAAGTTTTGAGTAGTCAACAGTTCCTTCCAAGTTTTTAATTTACTTTTGTTGAGAACGTTGCACATTGAAATCAGCTCAGTTCACCTTGGCATAAACACTCACAGAGTTCTGCATATTTTGACAACTTCTAAATATTGTTTGAGAAGGAAAGCAAAGTATTCCACTGTCACAACAAAAAATTTACTAAAATGGATATTTGAGCAAATTGGAGAGGGGTAATTTCAAGAATGTCTGTTGTAGACCCTACTTCATGTAGCATTGTTAACATTTCTCCAGCCTACTTGAACATGCACAAACATATGTACGCCTGTTTGTATTAAGTTGTACAAAAGTATGTTGGTTCATGTATGTCACTCTAAAATTTGTGAAAAGTCTGTAACTTACAACATTTTGTGTAGATGAAATTTTCATATTAAAGATAACATTTGCTTTGGGGTGATGTAAATCATTATATAAAAAAAAATATTTGGCTTTTCATTTGTCAGTCACTGACATTTTTTATAAACAATATATTCAGTGTTTTCCAAGTCAGAAAACATTGCACAAACTACTCGGGTGAGAATTTGAGACTTGCTTATCGTGTCAGAAAAAAATGGAAGTTTCTCACCAAATTCATCCATTGTAAATCAGCTAATGTCAAAAAAGAACAGCAGAAATGTGTTCAGGTTTTAACATAAGTAGGTTGTTGAAAAGTCTTTTATTAGTAAGACAGATAACATGAATGCGCTGTTACAACTGAAGCGTTCCTTTTTTATGGTTAAACCTTGCTGATAACATTTCTAGGAGTGGGTCATAAAAATTGGGTCAATTGCGTAACCGAAGCAGAAGTATTTTTGGTTTTATGCCTATTAGTTCAAGTGATGTTTGGTAAGATACGGTAGTTAAGCTAGTGAGATCCTGTCTTGAGGCTGAAGGATAGGTGTTTTGGATCTGTGCCGTGTTTTCTTTAAATCCGTCAAGTTTCTAGCCATTGATATGATTGCGATCTGCGTCCAAATGTTATGAAGTTAATATTAAAGGGAATATACAACATTTGCAAACATCGAAAAAACAAAATACCAAATTTTTACGAAATACCTTACTAGGATGTTGGTAAATTATGGTCTTAAGCATCTTGTAAATTTTATTGTATTTTATTGTAAATTTCCAACGCTGGTCGGCCAACCACCGTTGGAAAAACCTAACTATTTTTCAACTACTGCTCCAAATTTACCATTTTTTCAGTCCAAATTTTGTTTGCTATTGGTTACATGTTCATGACCAGGGGCAGGCCAGCTAGACTGGTTCCCTTACCTTACAGTTTTCCGGCATCTATGAATTGATCCATATCATCTTTAGTGGAGTCAGGGAACCAGACTACTTGAACATTTTTGTTTTTCTTGGTTTTTCCAGCATTTTCGAACACAAAACTTCAAACATGTCAGTGTAACAATATTTTATCTATTATACTAACCCTTCAAAATAGTTCATTTCTGAAAATTACAGCAAAAGCCAATGATGTACAATATCAAGTGTGAACGCACACACACACACAGCCAAAAACACACACAAAAAAACATGCCAATAGAACAAAATATTCTCTGACAGAAGTAAATTAACCCTCACCTCCCTGAATCTATCAAAATCCATACCCCTGTCTAGGAGTATTTTGGCAGATTCAGGATACCTCCATATTGAAAACTGTGGGATTTTGATGGACTGAGGATTGTAAACCTAGCAGTACTGCAGGATTTTGATAGATTCAGGACACCTCCATATACTGAGCAGGTACCAACTCCAACATTTTTGGTGTGACATGATTGGTGGATTTTGGCAGATTCAGGATACTTTCTAGTAAAGATACCCAAAGGGTTAGGGTTGAACAATATTATTTTACATGTATGCAGATGAACCATTCATTTGGATGCCATTAGTATGCAGTCCATTATTTTATCGGCTTCTAGTTTAGTCTTGTGATCGTGATGTACATGTACATCCATGCTCATCAGAGTCATGCAATTCTGATGGTGACAAGAGCTGCCCATCATTAATTAATGAATGCACTTTTGTCCCAAGAAGATTGCCTCATTAATTATGCAGATGTCATTGTTTTAATGAGCTGTCATGCAGCAGATAAATAGCCCTGTGTGTGAAACAAATGGAGCAGGTGCGATGAAGATTGCATATATCTTAAAGGGGCTGTCGTGTCATGAGTGTAATGTTCTGTAGTGAGCCCTCTTTTGGCCAAGGCACTAGGGATATGTTACAGATTAATACATGTACACTGCCCTGTTTTAAAGATATTTACAAAATCTTACAGCATCTGAGACTCATAAGTTTCTAACTTGAGTGGTGCCCTAACCCTCAATATTTGTGAGGCGTTCGGGCAAAAATAAATGGAACTGGGCACAGGCCATAGTGGAGAAAAATATCTTTTTTAAATAGTGGAGGGAAAAAAGCTTTTCAGATTTATTTATAATTGTAACCTTTGATATGTCTACTACACATATTGAAAAGAACTAGTATAAAACTCATGGAATAAAAGTGATTTTAAGGAAAAACAATTGGCTTATTTAAAAACTATAGAGGCCATTTTCTCAATAGTTTACTTTGTTTTTAAATGTCAATCATTGCGAACATTAAACAGCAGAGCTTGTCAACAGAATGTCTAATTGGAGTGCAAAAAAGAGAGAATTTTATTCTCTTTCCTAATACCCACAAACCCTTATTTCGACCTCTGCCCGGTTCTCTCTCATTTTCCAAAGAATGCCTCACATTTAATTTACAACATGCAAAAGTGATACACTCCACAATCAAACAAAACAGAAAACTCAAAAGATGCAAAAAGCACACAATGTGTATTTGAATGCAGGAAGGGAGGTATCACCCATGTTGTCCTTCGTTTAAGCATCCCATCTGATTGTAATTTCTTGAGGCACGAGGCGTCTGCAATTTGCATCATCCACACCACCTTGTCACCTCTTGCCTCATCTGGTATCTTGCGTTGCAGTTTCATTTCCCACTTGTGTTAAATATGGACGGGGTGATTCCATTTGATCTACCCTGTCCTCGTATGAATACATACATCTACGTACGTCTAGTTCATCATATGCTGTTGTGATGAGATCTTCTTTGATGCTGGACTAGTTTGGCCTTACATGTATTTGAGATTCTGTTTGGGCAGTCACTCAAATTTGAAACATTAGTTACACTGTAACCTACCTGTACTGTGCATTTACATGTAGGCATCCCAGAGCATTATCATCTCTGAACCGGGCCCAATTTCACGGCGCTGCTAAGCACAAAAATTTGCTTAGCACAAAAAAAGTCTGGCTTATTAAATGCAGGTTACCAGCCAAAACTCCATGTGATTTTCATGCTTAGCAAACAACAGCTGAATACTAATCACGAGCAATATACATCACATGGAGTTTTGGCCGGTAACCTGTTTTATAAGCCAGACTGTTTTGTGTTAAGCAAATTTTTGTGCTTAGCAGCGCCGTGAAATTGGCCCCTGGCCAAATTCCAAAGCCCACGTGGACTAGGTTGAAGAGGCACTCCTTGATGGATGCAGAACCTGTTTAACCCTAACCTTCCCAAATCCTCCAAAATGCTCTTTGCAAACTGGATGATTTTGAAGGATTTAGGATATGACAAAAATATGTGGCTGATTTGGGAGGATGCCTGTGTCAAGGTCTTGAGCCAGACCTTGTGTTGTGTATGCTCGGTCGTGCATACATTTAGGCCTAGATATACTTGAAATCCTCCGCACTGCTCCAGGATGTGGCTGGGTCTGCCTCAACATATCGACAGTGATTGTCGGAGGATTCAGCAGGATTGAGGCAGTGGTCACCCAATAAGGACCACATTCAAGAAATAACTGAGGATTTTGGAGGATTGAGGCTGAATGCAATTTTTACATGGAGGCAGTTGGAGGATTTTGCAGGATTGAGGTTGCATCCTAGCAAAAATGCCAAGGAAGTTAGGAACAATGGAAAACTTTTGTGAAGCAGTTGCCTCACTAGTAGCATTGTGTGATCAGAACTTGAGAAAACTTCAGGCAGTTGTACATCCTGTTTGTTCATGTACATGTATGTGTGAGATGGCTCGACTGCTTCAGTTTTACAAGTTGAATAGAATGTTTGACTCATCGCTGATGATGGCTTTCAATTTTGATTCAGTCTGAAAGATCTGTTTTAAAGATGGCGGACTCCAAAATTATGGGAACAAGGCTCCGCCCGGCTTACTATTCTTGTTTTCAAAATACATTAGCACTGGCATTTTTATCAGATGACAGTGGCAGTTTTGTCCACATGTACATCATCTTAATTTGCTGGTTTTGGTTTTTTGTCTTGTTTTCAGAGATATCCTGTGCATCACCATCGACCAGGACGTCACCCTGGAGGATCTGTCTGCTGATATGAGGGACATCTGCAGCTTTGATGAAGACAAATGCTTCACCATGAAATGGGTGGATGAAGAGGGTAAGTCCCAGTGTTGTAGGCAGCAAGTCCTCAAAAGTCAAACACAAGTCCTCATGAGTCAAACACTTGTCCTCACAAGTCCCTCACAAGTCCTCGAAAGTCCAACACAAGTCCTCACAAGACAAACACAAGTCCTCACGAGTCAAACACTAGTCCTCACAAGTCCTTCACAAGTCCTCAAAAGTCCAACACATGTCCTCGACAAACACAAGTCCTCACGAGTCAAACACAAGTCCTCACGAGTCAAACAAAAGTCCTCACAAGTCAAACACAAGTCCTAAAAAGTCCAACACAAGTCCTCATGAGTCCTCAAAAGTCCAACACATGTCCTCACAAGACAAACACAAGTCCTCACGAGTCAAACACAAGTCCTCACAAAGCCTCACAAATCAAATACAAGTCCTCACAAGTCAAACATGTCCCCACAAGTCCCTCACAAGCCGAACACAAGTTAAACACAAGTTAAGCACATGTCCTCAGAAGTCAAACACAAGTCCCCACAAGCCAAGCACAAGCTTAACACAAGCCCTTCACAAGTTCATAAGTCCTCACAAGTCAAACACAAGTCCTCACAAGTCAAACACAAGTCCTCACAAGTCAATCACAAGTCCTCACAAGTCAAACACAAGTCCAATACAAGTCCCCACAAGTCCTAGAAGGCCTCACATGTTCATCACAAGTCCTCACAAGTCCATCACAAGCCCTAAAGTCTTAAGTCAAATCACAAGCTATTCAACCTTTTAAGATTATACACAATTATATATTATTTCCCTTCACTGTTTTTCTCTTTTCAGGGGATCCGTGTACAATCTCATCTCAAGAAGAGTTGGAGGAGGCCATAAGACTGTATGAGGTCAACAAAGACTCTAATATTACAATTCATAGTAAGTGAACTGGAAACCGTTTTCTTTGATTTCATCCAGGTTTTCAAGGGTTTTTCCTTCAGTTTTTCCATTGTTCTTAAACTAACATACTTGATGCTCTCTCTCTCTCTCCCCTCAATTTTATCACCATAATTCTCATCTGTATCACTCCCATCGTTATTTTCATTTCATAACAACCAGTTTCTTCATCACGATCTTTGTCATCTTCATCACCATCTTTGTCATCTTCAGCACGATCTTTGTCACCTTCATCATGATCTTTGTCATCGTCATCATGATCTTTCTGATCTTCATCATGATCTTTCTCATCTCAGTAACAATCTTTCTCATCTTCACACCATCTTTCTCATCTTCATCATCATCTTTCTCATCTTTATCAGCATCTTCCTCAGCTTCATCAGCATCTTCCTCAGTTTCATCACCATTTTTCTCATTTTCATCACCATCTTTATCATCTTCATCACCATCTTCCTCATCTTCATCACCATTTTTCTCATTTTCATCACCATCTTTTTCATCTTCATCACCAACTTTGTCATCTTCACCTTCCTCACTTCTATTACCATCTTCCTCAACTTCATCACCATCTTTCTCATCTTCATCACCATCTTTTTCATCTTCATCACCAACTTTGTCATCTTCATCTTCCTCACTTCCATTACCATCTTCCTCATCTTCATCACCATCTTTCTCATCTTCATCACCATCTTTCTCATCTTCATCACCATCTTTCTCACCTGCATCGACACCTTTCTCATCTTCATCGCCATCTTTCTCATCTTCATCACCATCTTTCTCATCTTCATCACCATCTTTCTCATCTTCATCACCATCTTTCTCACCTTCATCACCATCTTTCTCATCTTCATTGCCATCTTCCTCATCTTCATCCCCATCTTTCTCATCTTCATCCCCATCTTCTCACCTTCATCACCACTTTCCTCGTCTTCATCCCCATCTTTCTCATCTTCATCACCATCTTTCTCATCTTCATCACCATCTTTCTCATCTTCATCACCATCTTTCTCACCTTCATCACCATCTTTCTCATCTTCATCTTTCTCATCTCCATCGCCAACTTTCTCATCTCCATCGCCATCTTTCTCATCTTTATCACCATCTTTCTCATCTTCATCACCATCTTTTTTAATCTTCATCACCATCTTTCTCATCTTCATCACCATCTTTCTCATCTTCATCGCCATCTTTCCCATCTTCATCACCATCTTTCTCACCTTCATCACCATCTTTCTCATCTTCTTCACCACCTTTCTCATCTTCATCGTCACCTTTTCCATCTTCATAACCATCTTTCTCACCTACATTACCATCTTCCTCATCTTCCTCATCTTCCTCATTATCTTCTTCATCACCATCTTTCTCACCTTCATCGTCACCTTTGTCGTCACCTTTGTCGTCTTCATCACCATCTTTCTCACCTTAATCACCATCTTTCTCATCTTCATCGCCACCTTTGTCATCTTCATAACCATCTTTCTCACCTTCATCACCATCTTTCTCATCTTCATCGCCACCTTTGTCATCTTCATAACCATCTTTCTCATCGGCATCACCATCTTCCTAGTCTTCATAACCATCATCCTCATCTATATATTCATCATCTTCATATTCACCTTCCTCACAATCTTCCTCATGTGCGTATTCATCTTCCTCACCTTCATCACCATTTTCCTCCTCTTCCTTATCGTTCCTTTTCATCACCACTCTATCCTTTCATCACCATTTCATCACTTTCCTTCTTTGCCATCCTCATCTTCATCACTATCTTCTTCATTTTCAGTGCCATCTTCTTCACCATTCTATTTTTTTATTATCATTCTCATCAATATTACCATCTTACCTTTCTTCGTTGCAATCTTCAACTTTATCACTATCTCATTCTTCATCTTCAGTGTCATCTTCATATTCATCAACAGTCTTATTTTTGTCGGTATCCTTACCTTCCTCTTCACAATCATCATCCTCATCTCGTTTGCCATCACTGTCTGCATTACTGTCATTCACTTCATCATCATTCTAGCCATTTCTCATTCCTGGGTTTGTGGTTTATGCATTTTTATTAAATTTCATACATTGCTTTTAACTGATCTTTTCAGAGTTTCCTTAAATAAACACAATGACATGTACATCTTTAAGATTTGATTTGAGTTCAGGAAGTAATATTTTGCAGTCTATTTCTGGATAAAATCTGTGCATTTTAAATCAAGGAATCCTGAGCTAATTATCTTATCTTCGACTTGTCTGAGTCATGTTTGGTCGTCCCAAGGCGTTCTTGTTAGCCTCATATATGCCCAGTCCAGTCATGTCCCAAATCCTGCATGATGATCATCATCGCAGTCACTGATCAGTTTTAAAGGAAGAGTACATCAGTTTTTTTTCGTTGGAAGCAACAAAAGTGCTCAAAATCTAAAGACAGGTGTTTAACAACCAACCTGATGACGTTTTAGCTCAGTGAATGCTGTAAATTCTGAGCAAACAATATTCTAGGATCTCGATTCCAATTCAAAAGTTGCCGAGTCATGTTTTGAATTGCGCCCGAAATCAGCGTCCGGGACACGTTCTCATTCAGCCGATTGCCGCTAAGCGATGTTACGCACTGAACTGATGAATTATAGTAACAGCACGCGTGTGTGCATCGTGTCCACGCTTGCGCGCACCCATTCACACTATTCGCCAAATTAAAAACGAACTGCTTACAGAAATTTCCAAAAATGCTTCTTTAGACGCATCTTTGGAAATGACTTTTTTAAATTGTTTTCATCAAAATGACAGCATGCCAGAAAGAATAATTTCTCATGCAGGTCAGTGTCATAAATATCTTTAAACCAAGTATGCTTTTCAACAGTAATTTTGTCAGTTACTTTTGTGGATAGCTTCAAATTATGTACTCTACCTTTAATCTTTCAGTATTGCAAATGCAGTTCACTGTTTATAGCTCCATGACTGGACCCATCTTTCTAGTGTTTTTTGCACAGTTCTAGTTCCCATGGGTTGTATTAGAACGCCTCTACATTTTGTGAAGTGGGCTGTGTAGGAGTTTTATGATGGGCTTCGATTGTTTTTGATCACACTTTGCTTGGACTATTAGAGTGTGTTTGTTCTGCTGACTTTGCTCTGCTCGAAAAAAGATATGAAATTTTTATGAATGATTTATAAGTGCTTGAGGAGAAACAAATGTGCGCATAAAATCAGGAAATACGTGCACATACTAGTAATACGTTCTCTGTACATGTACATGTACATTTACAGTGCATGTATACATATATTTCTGCAATATTTTTACAAGCCTTTAAAGGGTGTTTGCGATGAAATTTTCTTAGGAATACATTTTGTGCAACTTTCTACTCTTAAACATGCTTAATGTATGAATCTTATTTGACATCCCTTTTTGGTTAATTTTATTGAAAAGTTCAATTCTTAAAACATTGAAAAGTTCCATGCTTTTCTGGACAACTGAGGGCGCTGTTGCTGTGATGTCATTTCAGGAAGACACTGTTCAGTTTAGGGGTTTTCTGTTCAAATTCCAAGCCCAAAATATGCTCATTGAAAAAAATTTGTGAGAAACGGTTGCTAATTAGCTGACACAACAACGAATCACCAATGAAAGGAAAATTTATGACAGCAAAATATCCAAAATTCTAGAAAATTGCTGAAATAGCTATAACATTTTAGGTTTCTGTCAGAATGACATTACAGTTTTGCTCATGAAACGTGCAATAGCCTAAACAAAAAAGGCACCGAAATACCCTTCCAAATGGCGAAACAAAAATTTAACACAAAGGTTAAACGAAACACAGAGGTGCATTGTCACTCCCCTACCCGTCCTACCCCTACCCGTCCTACCCCCAAATAAATTGAGATTTGATTCTGAAAAAATAAAAATCCACAAAGTCCGACACTCAAACAGATTAGGGAAGTCAACCCATGAGATATTAAAAACAAATTTAATTTTAGCATTTAAATTGTGTCTAATTTTAACTCTGGATGTACTTGTGGTTAGATTGTCTCCTTTCCTTCCCCCTTCTGCACCTCAATGACTCCTGAATATACAAGCAAACTATTTTTATCCTCGTAGCAGCAGACGATGTATCATAGCATGATTCAATATGACAAGACCTGAAGCGTCATGTATAATCAACCACCTTACGGACGGACGATGACTTGTCTTAATTCACACTCGGCTTGGCCTACGATCACATGCAGCCTCCCCCCCCCCCCCTTTGGGTAAAGATTTGGTTCAATCCTTGAACAGCCAAAACAAAATCCACTAAAATATTTGCTCAAAAAGCTGCTATGTTTTATGTCCTCGCTTGCTGATTGTGAAATATTTCTAGCCCCTTTTTCTTTCTTGCGATTACCCTTTGTTTTGTAGAAGAATGGGCGATACCATTTCTGCTGAGAGGGATGTTAAGGTTGACGATGTTTTAACACTTTTTCCTAATTGGGTTTTTTGTTCAGTCTTTCCTTCAGTGCCGGAGCAGCCCGGGATGCCATGCCCTGGAGAGGACAGTAAGTAAAATATTCTTCCGTTTCGGTTTTTAAGATTTTCTCAAAAGAATGTCGGCAGTTCATATTGGTACGATGCGAAATCATATAGATCAAACCTGATATACAGGGTGAGTTAAAAAAAAAAAAAAAAAAAATGTCGGGACTATTGTTTTAGTGAAGTTCTGCATGTAGCACTTTCAAAATCTAGGATATGAAAGCCCAATTCATAAGCTTTCTTTTAGTACAAGAATCATTCAAATCACTCATGTACTTTTCAAGTAACGGAATTTCAAACACGACCACAGTTTTAAAGTTCTGTCCACAGATCACAAAAAAGGTGTGCGTTCTTTCAGCAAAAGAAACAATTCACACACATCCCTATGTGATTTGTTTTCATTTTGCTGCAAGAAAACATAGCCTACCTTTTTGTGTTCCGTGGACAGAACTTTAAAACGGTGGTTGTGTTTAAAATTCTGTAACTTGAAAAATTACATGAGTTATTTGAATGATTCTTGTACTAAAAGAAAGCTGATGATTTGGGCTTTCATATCCTAGATTTTGAAAGTGCTACATGCAGAACTTCACTAAAGCAATGGTCCCGACATTTGGGTTTCGCTTTTTTTGACTCGCCCTGTATAGATCAAATTTAAACACAATGTACAGTTCTGTGTGTATTTTACTGCAGCGTTTTTGAACAACTTACTTAACTGCATGTAACTTTACCAAAAAGTTCACCAATGTGTCTTATTGATGAAAATTTGATTAAAAAAATACCAAATTGTATAGCAGTTTCAAAGAAAGTTTAATGCAAATGTTGTGTCTATCATTTATTTGTTTATTTTTTTTGTGTAGGAAACATTTACAGGCGTGGAGCCAGGCGATGGCGTAAACTCTACAAAATTAATGGCCACACTTTCTCTGCCAAGAGGTTCAGCAGGGTAGGTACAAATTTCTGAAAGTTTGTCAAATTTATTTTTAAAAAAAATTCCAACTTAAATGTTTATAAATCAATCAATTAGTGGAATTATCAGTGGTAAGCTATTGGAAGTGTTTTGTTTAACCCTCCTGCTATTTAAACAGTCACAGACAGTCAAAATTCAATTCCACTTTCCCTGCTATACTTTTAACAAAGGCTAGTCACCAGCAGTCAGATCATATGTCAAGCAAGCACTGTGACTAGTCAAACTGGGTCAACAGACAAAGCAGGCAAGATGTGGTCACAGCTATTTTATCACTCACCCGAAGTCAAAGCATAGCTGTATCAAGTTACTTAAAACAGTCCCAGCCAGTCAATCCTGCTTAAAGCCTGGTTCATACTTCACGCGAAAGCGAAAGCGAAAGCAAAGCGAAATTCGTGACGTCAACAATACATTCGAAGCGCGTCCACCATTGTTGGCGACATGAATTTCGCCTCGCCATGCTTTCGCGTGAAGTATGAACCGGGCTTTATGCAGGCTGGGAATTCTTAACAGTTGAAAACACTCACTTGTTTGATTTTGACTGAAAGGACTACTTGGCACAGAATGTATGTTTGCATAGGAGGATTAAACAAAGAAAAAGTGTGTTTGTTTTTAAAGTTACCGTCACAATAGTTGGACAACCTTGTTTAGGAGAAAACAGGTAGCACTTTATGGTCATAATTGGTTTTTGAGGGTAGGGACCTGGCAATTAAGGTTGGCCTCTTCTAAATACTGTTTGTTCACCTTGCCTGTTGGATGGAAAGGAAATTGTGTCATACATGTATGCATGTCTACTTATAGTATTCGTATCCTGCCCACACCAACCCTTGTTGCTTTCATTGCGTCATTAGAAGGCTTGGTCAGAGCAAAACATGTTGACAATGATCTGGTTTCCTGTCGTAAGGATTGAGAAATAACCTCATGAAAAAGAAAGTAGTTTGGGGGATGGTGTTACATACATGTACAGCTCATTTCTGGATATGAAACTTGAATCGGCGAGGCGGATTTCTTTTGCCATTTGGGAATGTGCTCACTGTAACCTTCGAGTGTGCTGCATGACGATTCATTGATGTATAGTTTTGATTGTAATACGTACTCTACATGAAATTGTACATGTATGTGCAATCGGCGTTTGGACTGTGCTTTTCTAATGGTGAAATCATATGCTTCGAGACGTTACAATGGACCCACTAGAAACAGACCATACAGACGTAGGTAATTGTCTTGCTTATGGACACATTCATATTCTTTTGATGGAAATTGTGCATTCCTAATGCAAACAAGCAGTTTTGCTAGTGTACTCCCCATTGGATCACACTGTTCCTTAATAAGTGTGTGCAAAGACAAACATTACATTGTACTGTACTTGCAGGCTATTAATGGTTATGAATTTTTTAGCTGGATTTTAGTTTGCTGGATGTGTACATGTTTTGTGCAGAGCTTGTGGTACAGTGAAATCTTGATAAGTCAAACCTCAAGAGAACAGGTTCAAAATTTGACTTCAGCAGAGTTTTGAGTTAAGTAGGGCTGTATATCATTGTTATACTACTGAAGGCAATGGATTCTTTGTTTGACTTAACAGTTGTTTTGAGTTATGAGCGTTTTACTTACCGAGATTTCACTGCAGTTCCAATGCATTGTGTACAATCGAATCCCATTTGCAATTCTTGAATTTGTAAGCAGTCTTTCCTTATCCAGCACTTGTACATGTACACGTATTACACAAAAGTATGTACATATGTACAAAAAGGTACAAGTAGCAGGCTTTCCAGTATTCCTACTTTTCCTATTTTTCCTAGTTTCTACTTTTTCTTACTTTTTCCTGGAAATGTCTACTTTTTCCTAAGTTTTTTTCCCACAGCTCCAAAAAAATGAATCTCATTGAATGTTTTATTAAACAGTGTTGCACCAAAAGTAATTGAGTAATATTGATATATCAATGGTGCTTAGTGGAAAATAGGAGGTTGAAAATTATGACATGTAATTTGAAGAGTTTTGAAATATCACGTAGTCCTCAATCCTCAGCAGTGTCAATCATGTTTCAACAGTCCTCGTACAACTTGACAAATCTGACTAATCATAAAGTCATCACAAATTAATAAAATGTCACTGTTACATTGTGTGAGCACAATCAAAGTAACGTCGGTTTGTAGTTGTCAGTCTTGTTCAGAAGCAACTCATTTTTGGGGGACTTTCAATTTTGATGGGAAATCAAACCTGAAAACTACTGCGGATGCCCCGTCCTCTCACTTCTGTACTTGCTAGTACTGACCGAGGTTCGAATCCTACACAAAAGTATCACAAACCATAACTAGAAAGCACTCAGAGAGCGCAAACCTCCACCAAGGCTTAACAATTCCCCGCCATATTGTCAGTACGCCCAAAAGAAATACAGGTACTCGTATAAATGGTGAAGAATACTTTAAAAAATCCTGGATCCAGACCCAGATCCGGATCACTTCCAAAATCTAATCGATTTGTACTTGTACCAAGGACACCTCTAAAAAATTTATGCAAATGAGTTATCCTGTTAACAGACAAACCAACCAACCAACCAACCAACTAACAAACCGAATCCAATGAAAACATAACCTCCTTGGCGTAGGTAATAACTGCATGTTGTTGTGTTGTCTCTTTGCAGAGAGCCATGTGTGCTATCTGCGCTGACAGAATATGGGGCCTGGGCAGACAAGGCTACAAGTGTGTCGACTGCAAGTTGCTTGTCCATAAAAAGTGCCATCGATTGGTCAAACAGCCGTGCGGACCTCAACTGGTAAGACTTGTTTTCCTTTGTTCTTTGTTTGTTTTTGTCCAATACTCAAATATTGATTTTGGTTTGTTTTCTATGCAAATTTATCTTGCTTCGTACATTTATAAAAAAAAATTATATAAATTACATCAAAAGTTAAATGAAAGGAGAAATGTTAAAAGTCATGAATAAATGAACGTTGACAAGTATCTTTGTTCCATGCATGTAGTAATCAGGCATTCAACAAAATTTCCTTGTTTTTTACTCCTCATGAATCCCATTACAAATTGAAAAACACACAAATCTTGTGTGGTTTGGAATTTCCTCTTTTTTTTAAATTCCCATTTGCATGCTTGAGTCATAGATTTTTTTTAATTTGAATGGTGTACACTCTTTAAATACTCGACAAACGAAAGTTTGGAAATGTCATGGCTGTGTTGTATAAAAATCTTTAAAAATCATGAAAAGCTCATGCACCATTTTCGAATTGTAATGAAAATCTGTTTTAAAATATCAAGAAAGTGTTGAAATAATCTAACAAATTGTCAGAAAAATCTACGAAAGTCCTTGAAATTCCCTGGAAGTCATTTTTTTTTTAAATATCATTGTCTGGGGAAATTTCTGCAAAGTCACCAAAAAGTATTTCAAAAAAGACGATCTCAGAAAAGTCGTAGAGAAATCTGGGAAAGTTTGGTCAAAACCTCAGAAAGCAATTTTATGGATTTTTGATATTTTTATCATCTTTTCCCACATTTAATCTCCTTCAGCAAGTCCATAAGTCCCTGATTGAGGAGCGAAGTGGTTCTGCCAGCTCCCTTCCGTCCGGCGATAACAAACAGGGATCTGCTCATCACCAGAGAAGTGAGTTCATGTACTGTTTAGCCTATCACAGAAATATGGCTGATAGAATTCACTTAACAGATTAAAATAACACAATCTCCCTCCCTGTGCTATTTTCAAGTTTCACGCCAAAAACAGATCTTGTTTTTAAAGTGGTTGTGGGTGTTTTTTTTAGCAAAACACAACTTTTTTTAATTTTGAATGAGACATTGAAAAAGAAATCTGCCCATATTTAGTTACATAATAATTACTTAGCAAATTCGAAAAGACGAATACCCCAGGTTGTTTACATTGGACACGGCGGACATTTTGTGGCATACCCATATGTATAAAGTCGCCTCTATTCAATGAATTGAACATGTTGTGTGTGTGTTTACATAATACACACGGCAACAATGCACAAAATGTTGTTTCTAACACGTCCGCAGAATGCGAACCACTGTGTGACAGGATTCATAACTAACACTCGCAGCTCGATTTTTCTGGGACAAAATTGTGACCTCCAAAATTGGAGCTCGCATGGTTCTCACAGAAATAGCACAAAAACGCCCAGTGTTTAAAGGGAATGTACATCATTGGCTTTTGTTGTTATTTTCAGAAATGAACTATCTGAGGGGTTAGTATAATAGATCAAATATTGTTACACTAACATGTTTGCAGTTTTGTGTTCGAAAATGCCGGAAAACCCCAAAAAACAAAAATGTTCAAGCAGTTTGGTTCCCTGACTCCACTAAAGATGAAATAGATCAATTTTTATAGATGCCGGAAAATGGTAAGGTAAGGGAACCTGTCTAGCCTGCCTGCACCCGTTCATGAACATGTAACCAATAGCAAACTAAATTTGGACTGAAAAAAATGGTAAATTTGGATCAGTAGTTGAAAAATAGTTAGGTTTTTCCAACGGTGGTCGGCCGACCATCGTTGGAAATGTATACAAAAATACTATTTTCTTGAAAATGACTTCACACCAGCTGCCATAATTTTACAGGATGCTTCATACTCTCATTCACCAACATCCTAGTAAAGTATTTCGTAAAAACTTGGTAGTTTTATTTTTCGATGTTTGCAAATGTTGTACATTCCCTTTAAAGGATGGTTCTGTGGATGTTTATATCCTACTTTTAAATGCTCTTTCAAATTAATATAATTTTGTTTCAAATGCGTTTTGAAGCTCATTTGGGGCATTCCAGGCCATAATTTCCCTTTAAATGTTCAATTGTTTCCCTTTAAATGTTCAATCACAGGTACTAGCGGCAGTCCACGCCCCAAGCACAAAGTCCGAGACAACACTCTAGTGACACAGTACTCAGAGGGAGTAGGCAAAGAGGCCCAGTCAGGCGAGATCAACGAGAACACGGTCGGTCTGGATCACTTCAACATGCTCCGTGTGATCGGACGCGGTAGTTACGCTAAAGTACTGCTGGTGGAGCAGAAGAGCACGCAGCGCGTCTATGCAATGAAGGTAGGTCCTGAAAATAAGTTTTTTGTAGTCGAGCACATTTCCATGAGTATGGCTATGAGTACTTTGTTGTGAGTATGAGAGAGAATGAGTATTTTGTAAAGAGTACGAGTACCCTGTTGTAAGAAATGAACTACAGTGAAATCTCGATAAGTCAAAACTCAGGGGAATGGGCTCAAATTTTGAGTTAAGCAGAGTTTTGAGTTAGAAAATAAATTATAGATGGGAATAAGTTTTTACTTTAAGTTAGAAGGGTTTTCGAGTTAGCAGGTTTGACTAGATTTCACTATATCGGGGCCTCATTCAATAGAGACGTTAACCCTTTGTTCATTGACTTGGCTCTCCCCAAAACAAATTGTTTGCTCAGTCATGCCGAAATCACTAGAGCGTGAAAAATTGACCACAGGTTGCAAACTTACTTTTTTTCAACCCAGATTTTCACTGCCAACATTGGCCAAGGAGTGATTAATATCAAAGGTGTTGTGTGTAAAGTTTGTTCCTTAAACTTTACTCTTTTATGTGATGTAAAAATCCTGGCCATATGTGCACAAATAAGACAGTTATGCCTGTTTATTGATCTGCTCCCATTATCAAACTGCAAGCCATTTCACCACATGACTACATGGCACTCCATACCTCAAATTGTGTGTGGATACTTCTGAAGCACTTTTCTGATATTTTTGAAATGGTAACACCTTGAATAAAGTACACCATTAGAACGATCTGAAAACACTCTTTCAGCTGGTAAATGGTTGGTGTATGGGCGGCAAAAACATACCAACATGCCAGCTTGCTGAAAAGCAGTGAATAAATCTGTGTTGAGGGTGTTCTGTGTGTGGTTTGCTTCTCGACTAAAGTCGCCTATGGTAAGCAGCGGTGGTGGGGGGGAGGGTAGTTCCTTGTGGACAAAAGTTGCCCGTGGTGAGGAAAGGGTTAATCAATAGAGACTAAGTGGTCATTCCTTTTCCAATTATTCTTCCCATTATGTTTCCAATTAGTTTTCCAGGGCTAACTTTTTCTAAGCTTTGCAAAGTGTACAAAATGGAGAATTTCAAGGGAAACTTGTAGATAGTACATCAACGATTTCTTAGATGTGTATTGCCCGGCAATATTAAACCACTAATCTTCATTTGTTTATCATGTTCACTCTTCCAGGTGATTAAGAAGGAGTTAGTGACAGATGATGAGGACATTGACTGGGTACAGACGGAGAAACACGTCTTTGAGACGGCCTCTAATCATCCCTTCCTGGTGGGCCTGCATTCTTGCTTCCAGACTCCTAGCAGGTAAGGCTTCAAAGTGATTTTCATTAGTGTTTGACAGGCCTTACCTCACAACAGTCTTAACCCTAATTGCCGTGAATCCTTCAAAATCTTCTTTGCCAAAGTGAAGGATTTTGGAGGATTGAGGTTACATGGCAAAAGTGCGTTACTGATTACGTAGGATGCGCTTTGTCAAGGTCTTGGGCCGGACCTTGTGTTGGTTTTGTTCAGCCATGCATAAATATAGGCCTGGATTATGCTTGAAATCCTCCGTACTGCTCCAGGATGTCACTGGCCAAGCCTCAACATTTTGACAGTCACTGCCGCAGGATTTTCCAGGATTAAGGCAGCGGTCACCCCCATTCCCCTGCCATACCTTTTACACAGGCTAGTCACCAACAGTCAGATCATATTTCTTGTAGGCACTGTGACAGTCAAATTCCATCAACAGACAAAAGCAGGTGACTGGTAGGCACAGCTGGCTTATCAATCTCCTACAGTCAAAGCATAGCTATATCAGGTTTCATAACAATCACAGCCAGTCAATCCTGCTTTATGAAGGCAGGGAGCACTCAACTGTTAAAAACAGTCACTTGTGTTATTTTGACTGCTGGGCTGGCTATGTTGAAATTGCCAGCCAGAGGAGGAGAGTTAAGTTAATAATATATGTTACATATTTATCCTGTTAAAGAGGTCAAAATTACCTGCAGAAAAGAGAAATAGAAATTTACACCAAAACGTGACGACACTTTGTGTATTCATTTCTTTGTCTTATGCAATGTGTTTTGCTTCTAGATTGTTCTTTGTGATTGAGTTTGTAAGCGGTGGTGATCTGATGTTCCATATGCAACGACAACGCAGACTGCCAGAGGAACACGCCCGCTTCTACTCGGCTGAAATCAGCCTGGCGCTACACTTCCTACATGAAAGAGGTTTGTCAAAGATTGAATCCCCAACTGTCTTCAATAACTCACATTCTAGAATATTGTTGGAAACATAAAAAGAAAATCACTGATGACAAATTTCATTGATGAGATTTGAAGGTTTGGGTGCATCGTTTGACAATAAATCTCTTATTTTGAGTTAGTGAGTTTCTGAAAAGAACTTGGGAAACTCAGCTAATCAGACAGTATGATGTGTGAATAGTTTGTAAGTTGAATCTGGACTGGATGACTTATGATTGACTTGTGATGGATTTGTTATGGACTTATGATGATTTGTGATCCATCACAAGACAAGTACATTAAAGGGAAAATACAACATTTGCAAACATCCAAAATAAAACTACCAAATTATTTTGAAATACCTTGATGGACTGTTAGTGAATGACAGTGTAAAGCATCCTGTAAAATCATGGCACCTGGTATACTGTCATTTTCAAGAAAAGTGGTATTTTTGTACCAATTTCCAATGCTGGTCGGCCGACCAGCGTTGGAAAAAACTGGCTTTTTTCAAATACTGGCCCCAATTGACCATTGCACTTGTTTGCAATCGATTACACACCTATGAACGGGTACAAGCCAGCTAGACTGGTTCCCTGACCTTACAGTTCCCCAATGTATGAAAACTGCTCTGTTTCTTCTTATATGGAGTCAGGGAACCAGACTACAGGAAACTGATCGTTTTTCTTGGTTTTTATAGCATTTTCGAACCCAAAACCTCAAAAAAGTCAGTGTAACTATACTTGCTATATATTTCCAACCCCCCAATTCCATCCATTTCTGAAAATTACAGCAAAAGCAAATGATGTATATTCCCTTTAACTACAGCACTTGATTAAGCATATTCACGTTCTGTTTTCAATATCTTCTGAACAGGCGTTATCTACCGGGATCTCAAACTGGACAATGTTCTACTGGACGCTGACGGTCACATCAAACTGACCGATTACGGCATGTGTAAGGAGGGACTACGGCCCGGCGACACTACCAGCACATTCTGTGGAACGCCAAACTATATAGCCCCAGAGATACTCAGGGGTGAAGACTATGGTAAATATATACCGACTGAAACACCCATACAAAAGTGTTAATTAATACTGTTACATGTGTCACAAAATGTACAAATCCTATGAAGATATCCTATGGACTACGAAGATATTCAACAGACTTACTTGAAGTTACCGTGTAGGATACTAAAGATATCCTATAGGGTTCTATGAATATATCTTGTGAGATAGTATGAAGATATCATATTAGGTCTCTGACGATATCCCATAAGATCCCTTTAAGATATCCTATAGGTTCCTGTGAAGATATTCTATGGGTCCTATGGATACCTACAGGATGATATGGAGATATCCAATAGGGTCATATGAAGATATCCTATAGGAACAAATGAAAACATCTCATAAAATCCATTGAAGGTATATGGAATCTTGTGAAGATATCCTATAGGATCTTGTGAAAATATCCTATAGAATCCTGTGAAAATATTCTATAAGATCCTATGCAGATATCCTATAGGATCCTATAGGATCCTGTGAAGATATCCTATAGGATCCTGTGGAGATATCCTGTAGGATCTTGTGAAGGTATCCTATATAATATTGTGAAGATATCTTATAGAAGCTTGTGAATATATTATAAAGGATCCTATGAAGATATCATATAGGATCCTTTGAAGATATCCTATAGAATCCTGCGATGATATTCTACAGGATCCTGTGAAGATATCGTGTAGGATCCTGTGATATCCTATAGGATCCTATGAAGATATCCTATAGGATCCTGTGAAGATCCCGTTGGATTCTGTGAAGATATCCTATATTATTCTGAGAAATTATTCTACAGTATCACTCAACATTGAACTCCCTCCTACACTTTTTTTAGTATGTAATCAAATTGTGTCATGAAATATATTTGGCTGGGTCGTCAACATCAATTTTCTACAACAGCCAGGTGCTGGGAATTCAACATTTCCCCCAGACTTCAGATCATGGGAGATCTTTTGCAGGTGCAGTGATGGACTCCCTCTACCAGCTTGTGACAGCGCCCTCGTGTGGCCAGTTCACCCCAGCATATAGACTTGCGCGGTGCAGTCACTATCACACCTTAGGTGTGTCGGTATGTCCAGGTCACCAAGGTGTGTTAGTGATGACACTGCGCAAAGTCCCTCACAACAGGCCCACCACCAGCGACTCGACGTTTGTGATCAAAACATTTGTGACCATTCTGTGTTGCAACATTTTAGATAATTCTTGGTTGCTAATGAAGATTGTATGCCTTACTAACAGATGTTGCTTTATGATGTGTACAACTTTGATTTCTTGCTTTTTTTCAGACTACAGTGTTGATTGGTGGGCCTTGGGAGTTTTGATGTTTGAGATGTTGGCTGGGCGTTCCCCGTTTGACATTGTTGGATCGGCTGAACATCCAGACCAGAACACAGAGGACTACCTGTTCCAAGGTGAGTACAGATAAGCAGAGAGTCCATCAAAAGTCATATCACAAGCCAAATCACAAGCCAAATCACAAGTCAAATCACAAGTGTAGTCACAAGTCCATCACAAGTTGAATCACAAGTCAAATCACAAGGCCATCACAAGTCCATTGCAAGTTGAATCACAAGTTGAATCACAAGTTGAATCACAAGTCCATCACAAGTTGAATCACAAATCCATCACAAGTTGAATCACAAGTCCATCACAAGTTGAATCACAAGTCCATCACAAGTCGAATCACAAGTTGAATCACAAGTCCATCACAAGTTGAATCACAAGTCCATCACAAGTTGAATCACAAGTCCATCACAAGTTGAATCACAAGTCCATCACAAGTCGAATCACAAGTTGAATCACAAGTCCATCACAAGTATGACTTCTGAACATCTGACAGCAGTAAGGTTTTACCAGGTGACATAAAATAGGCAGTTGTCCAGAAGGGTTCCCAGAATAGTTGGGTTAATGTTTTATCCTTTCTTTCCTCAGTGATCTTGGAGAAGCCCATCAGAATACCCCGTGCGCTGTCAGTCAAGGCAGCATCGGTGCTCAAAGGCTTCCTTAATAAGGTAAGACAGCATCAGGCGATAAAACCATCTTCACGAAATGTACATCTGAACTCTCAGACTTAGATCTGCAAGCATGAAGAACAATTATTATTAAGTAGCTGTATTTTCTTGTAGGACTGTGCATCGGAACTGGGTACCCGAGTACTCGACCATTGATGTCAGGAACCGGTTTCAGATTATGGGATCGAGTACCTGTAACCAACTTAACGCATTACTTAGTAACGTCTCAGACTATGAAAAAGAAAGATTTTGGAAAAGCAGGCTACATGGGAAAACAAAACAATTCACGTTGATGAGGTATTTTCAAAAAGCATAGCACAGTTTCGCAGTAGTTTTAACCAGTGACATGTTGACTGTTATTTTTCAATATTTCTTTTTCCGGAACAGAATCCTATGGAACGTCTAGCCTGTCACCCACAGACGGGCTTTTCTGATATCACATCGCATCCGTTCTTCAAAACCATCGACTGGGAAAGCGTAAGTTCATTTCAATTTCACCATTTTGTGTCTGCATTATTTTATATTCACAGCTTCTTCCAAAATACTTATATCATCTTCATTTTTGTTATTCTAGTTAATTTAACAGAGAAAGGTGCCAATACTTGGTAAATCAAATTAAATTTTTAAAAGTACAGTGGAACGTTGCTATACCGAACACTACTATACCGAACACTACTATACCGAACATTCGGCTATACCGAACATCGTCCTTGGCTCCCCATTTTCGTGTTCAAAATGTACCGAACATTGTTGTTGAAAATTGTCACCATAAGAGCGACAAGTAGCTATTATTTCCCCAAGGAATAGAAGGGAAAAGCCACCCATTGCTGTAGGTAGTAAGCTCAAAAACTGTGTAATGACATAATTCAATGGTGTTATTTATTGAAAGTGAGTCCCGGAGCACCAGCAGCTAAAAATCGCCATACCAAAAAATCGTTATTACAAACAATTTTTGTGGATCCTGCGATGTTAGTTATAGCGGCTTTTGACCGAAGTGACTTTAGAATATGAACTTATTCATGAAATGTGAGCTGGCAAAATGAGACAGAACTGGGCAGAGGTCGAACTGAGCGTTTGTGGGTATTAGGAAAGAGAACAAAATTCTCCTTACAATACTGTTTGTTGCACTTCAATGGGACATTCTGTTGACAAATATGGCCGTTTAAAGGTCGCATTTATCAACATGTCAAAAAGTGAAATGCTGCAAAAAAGCCTTTACAGTTTTGACTGTTGTGTAGAATATAAAAGATGCCAATTGTTTTCCTTGACAATTGTTTTACTTGAAAATACTTTTATTCCATGATTATTATACTATTTCTTTAGAATGTAATGGTATTAGACATATCAACGATTACAATTTTTAATAAATCTGAAAATCAGAGAGAAAAAAATCACCCCCATTTGGTATTTTGTATTTTTCTCCACTACGGCCTTTGCCCAATTCCGTAGCATTTTGCCAGAACACCTCAAAGATATGCTTTTCAAGACTGATATTGTTAACCATGTTGGAGATTGCCATATGTTTTCTTGCTTATATCCTCGTTCCTGTTTAAAGTCTATTCATAAATACCTAAGACAGTTTACCCATTCCTATTGGTCAAGAGCCCGTCACATGGCCGGTTTTAAATGGCTGATAAAACACCGGCTGGCTGATCTTAAACACTTTTCCAGTGTCACATGAAATGTGGACTCCTATGAAATCTGGTGCCTGTACCGTTTGATTGGTTGAACGTTCACAATCCTTACGTAGGCATGCGCAATACTATCAGTGAGTCAGAATTTCATAGTCCTAAATTCACACTACATCGGCACAGCTGCGTTCTGCGAGACATCACGCAGTACGCGCAACGCGCGCGCCAATCTCCACATAAGGAGTTGTTAACGACTACTCGCAAGAGGGCTATAACATAGCATAGCTAGAGGGGTGTTTCGAAAAACATGAAGTATTGTTGAACAAAATCGTTGGAAATTTATATTTTTTTTTACTTGTTCTGACTTTTGGACCGAAAAAAGTTTTGATTTTGTTTTACCGAAACGGTATTTTTGAATGGGAATAAATATGTGCTTGGCTGGTGTTTAAGATTGGTTGGAGTCTGGATGTTGATAATGACTCGAGCCAAAGGCGAGGGTACTTAACAGCATCCAGACTCCAACCAGTCTTATACAAAGTGTGTAAAAGTGTAAACAGGCTTGTGCAACCTTCAGTCACTTTTTGTGTTCTATGTCTTCCGTTTAAACTTCTCAGGTATATAGCAGACAGACGACAACTTTACTCATTAAATCATTGTAGAGAGGATCAAATTACTATCAAGTGTCTTGCTTATGGACACAATGCACTAGGATACCCTGGCTGGGCACAAACACGTTGCAGTCTCAATCAGTGTCGTGCGTATATGTAGGCCATACATTTCTATCAAATTTAAATGTTTTAATTGTTTTAATTCGTGTTGTTTAGATGTCTGCTCGTCAAGTGACCCCACCTTACAAGCCGCGTCTTGACAGTGAGCGTGATCTGGAACATTTTGACCCACAATTCACAGACGAACCAGTGCAGCTCACACCAGATGATCAGTAAGAGACAATTTCTTTGCCGCATTCTTTCTTTAGATTCAGGGAGGGAATATTAACTCTACCAATGCCCAGGACAACTTGTAGGCCTGTTTGTACTTCACATGAAAGCAAATGCAAAGCAAATTTGTCCTCACGAAACCTTCGCTACAAAATTTGTCGAAGTTGAAATGTGTTCAACTTCTGCAACTTCACAGCGAAAACTTGGCATGACGTCACATATTCACGTATTCGCTGTGGCGCTGAGTAACAACCGGCTTATACTCGGATCATCAACTGCCACTTAAACTGACCAAAAGCACCCTCTTTTGACCAAGTTGACTTCTCCCTTGTTTATATTCTTACCTCTCCAAAATTTTATCAAAAATTAATCAAGTTTTATCTTCAAATTGCCCTGAAAAAAAAATGTTTTGAGGATACTTCATATTATCTTATTGTAAAATAAAACGATGAATTTATGAACCGTTCTCCCACCAATATAATTATTGAAACTCAAAATCATTTTTTGTATTTTAATTGATGTATTTCTCTGTTTTTCCCCCTTCTTTAACAGGAGAATGGTAAGTCGGATTGACCAGTCGGAGTTTGAAGGTTTTGAGTATGTTAATCCACTGCTCATGTCTGGTGAGGAGTGCGTCTAACGAGAACTCCGCTGCGACGTTCCTCAAACCCCCCACCCATCGACGACTAGTCGTTATCCAGGGCTCTGCTTCACTTCACTGCGCTTCCATTATGTTAATCATAGTCCCATCCTACAGTTTGAAAAAAGAGGGCAGTGTCACGGAGTTGTCATTCTACGAGTCGCGCTGACCTCATTTGCATATGTCACTATGCAAATTTGAAACCTAACTCCAAGAAGCACTAGTGCTGATTGTGACCTCAGAAACCATTTGCATGTGATTACTATGCAAAATCCACCAAGTTCACTTTAAAGGTGTGGTATCGCCACATATGGATGCCAGCCAAATGACCTCGGGATAATTTGCATACGACCTTTATGCAAATTAGCCTATTTGTCCGTTCGACTACATATAAACCTGTTACGATGTGTGAAGAACATTTTTGTACTATATTATTCATTACTTTATAACTTATAAAAACAAATAGTTGAGTTGTAGGGTGTTATTACTGTAGGACGTTTATAGTCTCATAACCCTTCAGTAATGCATTGGCTCTTTGCATGAACTATAGGGGGCGCTTTGTGGCACTCAGCGTGAACCGGAGAGGTATTATCAATGGAAGTTGTACTTTTACAAGAGGGTTTTTCTTTTAAATGAAATTGGCGAAACTTGCTTCGCCCTTATGCAGAATATATATGGGGTGCTCATAAAAGGGAGGCCAAGTGATCTTCCTGTCTTCAAGCCAGGATGTTTTTGAACAGGAGCAGAAAAGACAAACGGTTGATAAAACAGCAACTGGTTTAAAACACTTAATTCCTGCACCATTGCGTTCGGCGCCACATCGCGCAGTACGCACGCCAATCTCCGTAAAAAGGAGATTCTTAGAATGTGAGGCACATACCATAAGGTGTTTCAGTGTTTCACATGAGGTAAAATTGTTAAACAAAAGCATTGGGCAACTGTGAATATTTGACTTGTCTTGACTTTTTGACCGAAAGGTATTTATGAATGGGGAATAAATGTGGGTTTTTTTGGCTGGTATTAAACAAGTACGTTTAAAACTGGCCAAGCACATATTTATTCTCTTAATAGATGGTCTGAAATGGGATTAAAAAGTTAGTATTGCAATCGGCAAGTCCACGTTGGACTTGGAGGTGTTAACAGGCTTATCGATCTTGTAAGTACATTGTATTTTGCAGTTGTGCTTAATAAGACTGTTGTTGTTCTGGATTTGAATGTATTGCCAAGTTGTGCACTCTCTTCTTCACGATACTGGCAAATAAAAAGATTTAAAAAATAAAGAATTTGTCCGGTGGAAGAACAGAGTTCTAATTATGCAGTATTAATAATACTATGAATATTCATGTATACGTAAGGTGAAGGTCGTCACTATGGTTACAAGCCCAAACTACAGCTTGCCTTTCATTGTATTCTTGCTGTCATGTAGAAGTAAAACTGCGCACTGGGAATGTTGAGGTATGAATATTCATCAGTGTCACCTGAATAAATTGTGTATTCACTAATTTGACAGTCGTGAATAAGAATCTTTTTGAATAATTAATGAATGATTATATGTATTCATGTGTAAACTTGAGGCAGTTGCGATAATGCTCGGCTGGTTGACTTCAATTGTTGCATATTCATCTCTTGGTACACAGAGATGAATATTCATCACTTGATATGAGTAAAATGTTTATTCATATTTGTTCTATCGGACAAACAATTAAAGAAAGTTCAATGGGTCAGCAAGGCTTACAAGTGGAAATTAAAAAATCTCACAGTTAAAATCTAATTGAAAATCTTACTCTGCCAAAAAAGTGTATGTAAACTTGTAAACTACAAATAAGAAACACAGACCAAAGAGTGTGTGGCCTTGGAAAGTAAAACATAGTCCAGTGTAAAGACTTGAATGTTGGTGTTTAGTGTTTCAGCAGATGTCATTAAAGATCAATGCAACGCACAATTGTCTGTATTTCCAGTTGCTGGCAAGTGGTGTTCATGTACTAAACTATCAATGTATCTTGTGGCTTACTGTTGTCTGTGAGCACAAATTGTGGAAACGGCCATTGTAAACTAATATCAATGGTGATGCAAAGTTTAGGGAGAATTTTAAATGGATCGAACACTGTTAGCCAATGAGGTATACCTAGCACGATATGTGACAGAGGGGTTAAACCCCCCCCCCCCCATGTCCCTATACCTTATACACTTTCTAGACTATTGCTGCCTAGCTAGCCCCCCCCCCCCCCCCCCCCAGATATCTCTAAAGAATTCCTGAGATTCTGGTAACACAAAGACCAACACAAAACGGGGGGAGGTTTCCTCTGTCACATATCTTGCTACATATGCTATGAGGTACTCGGCTCTCTAGAGAAAATGCTGCCGAGCTGCTTACGTATTATGGCGCATGAATATGTACTGCTCCTCCGTGTGGCTACCAATGTGGCTACCGGTGTGACTTTAAATGTAATAACTGGTGTGGCTGCCGATGTGGTTACCATTGTGGCTTTTGATGTGGCTACCAGTGTGGCTACTGATGTGGCTACTGGTGTGGCAATAAGTTTTGTTGAGTCACCCATCCATGTCACCAGCATTTATTGTGTGTGGCCAATATAGTCCTTCAGCTATGGTAATGAGTCTACTGTGATCCTTCTTGTTGTATTGTGTGGCCTTCATTTATTTGTGGCCTTTAAGACATGTGCATTGCCAGCAATCATGCCGGCCAATACTCTTTTGGGGTTTTCTTGCAATCCTTTATGTGGCCTCCATTCGTGTTTGGCCTTAAGGTCCATACATAACCATAAGTCTTGCTGGCCAGGAGTCATCGGCCAGCAGGCTTTTGTGACAATAAGTGAACACTATCTCTTTTTAGACAAGTATTTTGGCCACCATTTCTTTAAGGCCACTTTAATGTTCATTAGCCGCACAAAATTTTATTGGCCAACCACCCGTCCACAAGCCGAACTGTGATGTGTTTAGATTCATAAACTGTATTCAATTTATCAATAAAAAGCTATCTTTTTTTAAACAGAGTAAATACCTATACATGTGCCTTAAATGTTTGAACATACCAATGAGCGTTGTCTAATCTTAACCCCACATGACAAAATTGAAATCTTGCGTCTAGATCTTTTGTAGACCTTGCCAATAGAAGTCTTGCACACTATCCTAATCTCAACCCCTCGCTTTTTACGCTGCTCTAGACAAAACAAAAGAGACAAGTAATCAGTACAATTAGCCAATGGTGAGAGAAATGTGTAATGATTAAAACAAAAAGTAGTAATAAAGTTTTAAATGGTACGTAATGAATGCAAACTTGTCATCTCTAATGGTGGGCGGTGCTTACTTCAAATTTGGGGATAGCTTTTGTATTCGCTTGTGTTAAGCCCGTGAAGTTTTTCGCTTGTACTCACTGCCTGTTTCAAGGGGTTGGTGACCAAAATAATCTTGTTCACAAATTCTTAACAGTCTTAGCTAAACATTGTTAAATGCATGTGTAGTAATCACAAATATATTCATGTGCATACAAAGAAGTGTTGGTGGGACGATGCATTTTTCACCTGTGACTGTATTAATACCTTAACTCCCTTCTGCAAATCACCAGAAAAAGACAAAAAATCACGAAGATAGGGGATGGATTTTGATGGAGTTGGGGAGGAATAGGGTTAAGCTTAAAACAGTAATAAAACATCCATTTCGAAAATGTGCTGTCAAAGTTGAAGTGCATAACTGGCTTGCCTTTCATGCAGTATAGTGTGTGTGTTGAAATGGTATGTTATGAAAACACTCAAAAAACAAATTGTAAAACTAAAATACAATGATTGTCAGCTTGTGTTGCCTCCCCATAAAAGAAACATGGTGTGTTCATGTAGTACTGATAGAGTGTAGGCATAGGTTTCTGCTTGTAGAGCTTTGGTTGCAAAGTGCCTTAGTATATGGGTATCACACCTTTTTTTTTTCAAACCATTTTGGCCAGAAGACAAAAAGAATTTGTTTGTCACAATTGTACGCATTAACGCAATAATGAATAACACCAGATTTGCTCTGGAAAAAAAATATGCATTGAATTTGTTTCTTTTATGAATTAGTTATTAATTAACCAATGTTAATTGGATACACATTTGAAAAAATTCTTAAGTTCGTACTTTTATTTTTCCTGAATGTCATCACTCGGTTTTTATGTGTTGAATACATCACCTCATCCACCCGAATCCTAGAACAAACTGACTTTAGCACCATGAGATTTGGGTTTCTGACTTCTGAAAGGGGTTGCCCTTGGGTACGAGCAAGTAGAGATTGGTTTGGGGGTCAAAGGTCAAGGTCATTGTGGTGGGTTAAAGGTAAATGGTTTCCGGATGATAATTTTAGTTAGAAATGTGATTTTGTTGTCTAACTTCGGTAGGGGGTTGCCCTTGGGAGAAGGCAAGTTGGGATTGGTTATGGGGACAAAGGTCAAGGTCACCGTGGCGAGTTCAGAGTTAATGGTTCCCAGATGATAACTTGAGTTAGAAATGAGATTTGGATTTCTAATTCTGGAGGGGTTGCCCTTGGGGTAGCAGACCAGTAAATAAACTTCCATAGACCCCAATGGTGAATGCTCCCACTTCAAAAATTCGGGAAAAATACTCACAACTCTCCAAGGTGTTCGAGACGCACATCAAATTAAAGCTTATTTCATCATCTTTCATTTTCTTTTCAATTTTCGGGGGGTCAACTGATGACTTTTAGGGGAAATTTCCATCTGAAGATGATCACCCCTGAAAATAGTCCTGAAGCCCATCGCCATTTTGAAAAACGATGCCTACACTCCATTGCAAAATAGAGCGCTTTTAGGGTCCAAAGTACATCAAAATTACACAGAACTGCAAGCTCCCAGTCCTGTGCACGGCTTCCACCCATATTTTTTACAAACCCTCAAGTTCATGGCCCAAAGCATGCCCAAATACCGAAGATTTTGAGGGCATGCAAATCGTGATTTGGCCGGCGCAGGCGATTTCGGACCGATTTACTGGTCTGCACCCTATAGAGAAGCGAGGTTTTGAAAAATTTCCCCAAACCACTTGTACGGCACGAGGAAGGATGGATGACTCATATTTCATCAAAAAAATGCAAGAAAAAAAATCTCTGACTGCGATTTCTGGCCTGAAAACAAGCCCTCTGTTTGCGGCTACCTTACTGTAGGGCGCCCCCAACGGGCTTTAATTGAGTTTTTGCTCTTTCCGACCCCAAATTACCCCCCCCCCCCCCCCTTGTTCGCTCGAAATTGCTGTGATCGGACGACGGTCCATCGGCCCTATTCAGATTTTGGGCGCATTTGTTGCGGAACCGCCATTGGTGACCCTTTTTGAAACGCTGCCCCCCCCCCCCAGGTTCCGCCCCCCTGAAAAAAAACACTCCGCAAACATTTGACAAACAAACGTGGAAGGCGCCATTTTGAAACTACAGGTAGCAGACCAGTAAATAAACTTCCATAGACCCCAATGGTGAATGCTCCCACTTCAAAAATTCGGGAAAAATGGGTACAGGCAAGTTGGGATTGGTTTCGGGGTCAAAAGGTCAAAGGTCAACGTGGTGAGTTAAAGGTACATGGTTTCCGGATGATAACTTGAGTTAGAAATGAGATTTGGAATTCAAACTTCAGAAGAGGGTTGCCCTTGGGTACAGGCAAATTGGGATTGGTGTTGGGGTCAAAGGTCAAGGTCACCATGGTGAGTTAAAGGTTAATGGTTTCCTGATGATAACTTGACTCTGGCTGAGGGGTTTCAACAGCAATGCTGTTATTTTATGTATTTAAATGAAATGACATCACACCTCCCTTTTTCCCTCCTATTAATATTCTTTTAAAAAAGTTTGTTACTTTATTTTAATTCTTTAAGTCGTTAAAGAAAAACAAGTTAAATTCAATAAAACGTTCAACTTAAAAGTGCTTTACAATGCATTTTGGGGGGGGGATTGTTAAAAAAAAATCTGATCAACATTATTGGATCATCAAAGGGTTAAAATTTCGCCATCATTTCCATTGGGTTTATTATCAACCTTACATTTTTAATTAAATTTGGCCAAAAGCTTGACTTTTCTTCAAAAAATGCATCCTTTGGCGGTAAGTGGAACATCAAACAACATTCAAACGAGTTTCAAACATTTTTTCCAAAAAAAAGAAAGATTTTTGAGTGATGCAAATTCGGGGAGGATCAACAAAAAATAAAATAAACATATCTAGAAAAGTTACGTGCGAAAATAAATACACGCCGAATTCGGAGTCGGCTTTCATGACTCAAAAAACACCTCTTTTTTTCCGGACGATACCTCAAGGAATATATGTTGCATTGAATTGAAATTTCGTACAATAATTGATTATGAGAGAGAACCAAAATCAGTACAATGATTGGAGAGGACTTTTAATATAACGAAAACAACGTACTGTTTCACGGAGAAAAACCTTCCCATAAAAGCAATCCTTAATTTTCTTTCAAAAGAGGGCGCGCTACACAAATAGTGGTCATCACCGCACACGAATTAATAGTTGCCTAAAGCTGAATTTGAAACCAAAACCCATTTTCCTACGCAAAATTAAAACGGACAAAAGACCCATTTCCCACTTCCTAAACAAAAAGAAAAACGGATATCAAACCCATTTTCTAATTCCTAAGCAAAAAGAAAAACGGATAACGAAGCCAATTTCCTAATTCCTAAGCAAAAAGAAAAATGGATAACGAAACCCATTTCCTAGTTCCTAAGCAAAAAGAAAAACGGATAACAAACCCATTTCCTACTTCCATTCGCATAAGGACAACGGATATCGATTCTCCCATTTCCTATTTCCGTACGCAATAGGATAACGGATATCGATTCTCCCATTTCCTATTTCCGTACGTCCTTGCTCTATGGGATAACGGATATCGATTCTCCCATTCCCATTTCCATACGCAAATGGATAACGGATAACGAATCCAAAATCCC